TGGCAAGGGAGCACAGAGAGCTTGGTCTCTGCATCTCCCAGCCTGAGGGTGAAGGGCTCTGGGAGTGGCCGATTTGTTTCGAATTCTGCATTAGGGACCCAGCCAGGGTAGTCTCTCATCTCTCCTACAGGCCTGCCAATGCCGTTAGGTTGCTCCCAGCCACAGCTGCAATCAGTTGTTGCAGGTTCAGTGTTTGCAAAGTCAGAGCCCAGGGCTCAGGTTAGGAACAGTAGGATTGCTCTTACAGGGGTCAGAATTAGCTCATACATGAGACAAACTATTTACTGCATGACTGTTATGACTCTATGATGACCTATACTGCAAATCCTCTGGTTTCTGTACATCTCCTTTATGCCTTGTTAAATTCTCTGTGTTTAGTCCCCACAGAACTGCAGTAACTAAACCATTTGAACACAGCGCCCCCTTGTGTCCTGAAGACTTCATTGCCACTTTCTTTTGACAATGTCGGAGCACTATGCCTAGAGGAAGTGGGGCTGGGTCCATCAGCATAGCCATGAAGAAAAGTGACCAGCGCTGGGACATCAGAGAGATGCCTTCGTGAAGTGATAGGTAAGGACCAACCTTTCTCTTACCTGAGAAAAAATGCCGCCTCTGCCAATTAGAAGCCCCATGTTTTTGCAGTCCTCATGGATTTGACTGACTTCTTCCCTGGGAAGAGGCTGGCAGCTCATCTGTAAATACATTTAAAAAATACTCCCTATTTGACATTTGAATGATTAAATATATTATTTCCAAGAGAAGAAAAAAGTGACTCAAGCAATCAATGCTCTTTTCTCCTTTTTAATCTCTCTCTCTCTCTGTAATTGAATAAAGCTGTTAATTGTTGGACTGGACTTTTTTGGCGGGATGCTATTAGATATTAATAATATTTATTATTAATAATATTAAATATATGTTTTTATTCCAATTCATCTCAAATTCCCAAAGACAAGATGAAATTGAAAGCGGAGAGCCAGTGAATCTTGGCTTTGCTAAGGCTACTCTGGGAGCTTAGTTCTTTAATAGCTGCATTTGGAGCCTGTTTTATTTATGCAGAAATTCTCCTCAACTCTTCACTTTGTTTTTTCCATGTACAGAGCTTATTTCAAGGTCCAGGAGATGGCTCAGAAGTTGCACAACAGCATCACCAGCTACGCTTTCCCTGAGCCACAGCACAGCCTGGGCAGCTGGGGTGGGCCCATTTGTCCTCATCTTCTCTGCATGTGGATTTGCTCTCTCTCCAGGACTGAATCCTCCAGGGTTAGGAGTGTTAAGTGTTTCGGGAACCAAGAGGCTGTTTCAGGTCACTAGGCATCTGAAGTTTGTCTTTACCTGTGGGTCCCGACATGCCAGCACCCTGTGGCGACATTAGGCTGGGCGCTTGCTCCCTTTCTGTGTCTTCTGACGCTGTGAGTACAAGTGCCTCTCTCTAATTTAGTCTGACTATGTGTCTACATTACCTGGAAGCCTTTTCAAACTAAGATGTTCGGTCCCCTCACTAGGCTTATCGTATTAGAATATTTGCATCAGGGCATAGGCATCTGTATCTGTAAAACGCTCCTCAGGTGACCGGGCTGAGAACTACTGCTTCTATCTCAAGCTCTGAGTGCTGTCACCGCCACTGGTCTCTTTTCTGTAGCATAGCTGTGTGAGCATCAGCACCGGGTCTGACTCTCTGGTTTCAGATGCACAAGGCATGATCTTGACGCATGGGCCAGCAGCCCCTGCCTGATAAGGTAGAGGAGGGCTCTCTCCAGGGCTCCCAGCTTCATTATTCTCCCCATCTCCCCAGGACTTCCTACCCTCCTCCTCGGCTTTAGTATCCATTCCCCTCCCGCCCACCAACTCCTGACCCAATTGTTTATCCAAATCTTCCATTCCTGGCCAAATGTTGGTATCTGGGCACAAGATAAGACTGGACATCCCAGAGATGTTTGCATTTTTTGTCTGTCTTAAAGCTTTAAGATAAGGAAAATAATATTCAAGCTTTCAGACCTCTAGATAATGAAGGACCTGGGATGGGGGAAAGGACTAGGATCTTCTCATTGATCCTGAAATGTCATCACGCACCGTTTGGGAAGATTTCGATGTTGCACCAGAACAAATCAAGTTCTGATGAACATCTTTGTTCATCTGTCTCAGAGCACGCAAAAATTGGGTTTAGAATAGTGAGAAAGGGGAGAACTCCTCCCGGCTCATCACACTTTCCTCTATGGAGTCTGCACTTTGAGTGGTCTATGATGTTTGCGAGAGCTCCTGATGCTGAGGACGGGGATGGATTCCTCTGAGCCTTTAAACAACCCTCGACTAGGCCACAAGCTGAAGATAAGTACGTTATGGCTTGTGAGCCAGAAGGTCTAGTCTTATATTCCTTTTAGTTTCCTGTTGTCTTCCCTTAGCTTTAAAATCTCGTTCAAACTTTCCAGCTTTGTACTGTGCGGTATTAATGAAAGAGTCTTATATCCATAGTCCGGTTAAAATATTAGAAGAATTGAGGATCAATTCTCCTAAACTAAGATGGTGTGGTTGGTCAGATAAAAGAGCAAGAGTCCCTTAAGGGAAAGCTGGATCCCCGTGGACAAGAGTTAGGGCGAAGGGGTCAGTCTGACTATTCCTCTCTGTGCCAAAATTCTCTTGCTTTGTTCTCCTCAGAGAATCTAGGCTTTGCTTTTATGGACGATAGGAACAATTTCCTATTATGTGGAGGTAGGGGTCACAGGAGAAACAAAGGGAAGAATTTGGGAGATCTGGCAAAGAAAGAATCAACAGGACTTGACATTAGAAATAAGAGGAGAGAAGGGGTCATAGATTATTTTGTAGCATTGAGGGTGGGCAATTGGGAGAAGAGTGGAAGGTGAAAAACTGTGAACTTGGGAGGAATAACTGGTTTGGGAGAAGATGCTAAGTTCAGTTGCTGTCATGTCGAGTTTGAGGTCACAGTGGGGAACATCATCAGAAAGTCTCATTTCTCCCTGGTTACTTGGGAGATTGAAATTCATTCTCAATCAATCAATCGATCAATCAAACAAAAACAAAACCCTATAGATCCTTAATATCCTCACCTTGAACCGTCACCACAACCTTTTTCTGGCCCTTCTCTTTTATTTCTACTAGCTGTCTGGGCCACCCTCCCCTCCCTAAATAATCTCCTCTCTTGCCCATATTTGTAATTCTAAACATTCAGTCATCACTGATGCTCCTTGCCTAGTCTGGCAGAATAACACCAGTTCCCTTTCCCAAGGGCCCTCCCCTCTAGAACTCCTGACGACCTTCTAGCATTTTGTTCATACTCAACGCTCTTGCTGTCCTGCGTGCTCTCTCCCTGAGAATGAATGATTGTGCGATGCTTCCTACTTTACTTCTTGCTGCTCCAAAAAGCCACAGAGAGAGCAGCAGATCAGAACCTACCTTATCCTTCACCATTTCAATTCCAATCATGAGGCCTTTGCCTCGGACATCCCCGATAATTTCAAATTCATCCCGCAGCTTAGCAAACTTCAGCAACATATAGATGCCAACCTCGTGACTGTTTTCCTGTAGGTTTTCTTCTTTAATCACCTGTTGAGAGGAAGCTCCAAATGACCTTGCATTAAAAAAACAAAGTTCTAAAATTGACTGAGAAACATGGAGAGGTAAATGTATATGACTCCGTTTACAGAAACCTGACCAGATGAATGGGATCCAGAGTTCGTACGGCCATACCGTGTACTACAAAAAGATTTGCCGTAAGGAGAAAAAAGGTCTTGGTAGAGGGGGTACTTCCCCCATACTGTCCTCATCTTCAGGGGTGGGTAAGAATTTAGGAAAGACTAGAAGACGTAACCCAATGCAGTCTGTAACACAGATTTTCTAATCCTGAGGTTTATTACTGCCAGGCTTTGCTGAGAACTAGGATATAGTGGTGAATAAGACAAGTGCTCTGAGGAAAGGAATGTCACAGATGCTTGCCCTACTGGATGGGAGCTTGTTGGCCTTTGTCCATCAGCTCCTAGACATTCAAGCTGTCATCGCCCACGCGCCTTACTGCAGGGCCCTGGTCTCCTGAGCTGAGCTGAGCCTTGTGTGTGCCCAGAGTCAGGGCACCTGATCATAGAAAAAGATTGTCACCTACTTGGGCTCACAGTGGAGACCTGGGATTCTTGACAAGATACGTGTGAGATGCTACATTTATAGTTAGCTGATAATAACTGCATGACTCCAGGCACACCTTGACTTTTTAAAGACCTATCTGTTCACCTAAATCTTCTCTACCTTATAAATTGGTTGAGGTGACACAGCACTTAAAAAAAAAAAAAAAGTTGGCAGTGTCTAATAAAATAAATGACACATTCCTACTCACATTTCCTCATTTCATGATTTAATCACATTTGAAGATACTTTTTAGTTAGCAAGGGCAGCTTTTACTTACTTTTTTTTAATTTTAAGTTTTTGAATAGGTGAACCGTGTGCCTTGTCCAAAAATCAGAAAGTTTAAAAGTGTACACAGTAGAATGATCCTTGCTGATCCCTGCCCACAGCCACGAAGTCTCTCTCCCCACAAATAACTGCTGTGATTAGTTTCTTGAACATTCTTCCAGAAATACATTATACTTACTTAAGCAAATGTTATTATTGGCATTTAAAAGATCTTTTTCTATAGATGAGACCTCAGGCAAAATCAATGGAGTAGGGCTGAAAAATAGCTGAATTACCTAGTTGTAATGACATAGCACTCAGGTTTTTTCAGTTTTTGAATTTATGACAGTACAAAAAAAAGAAGGAAGAATATATAAGACAGGGCCAAAATTAAACTGAAATCAAGGATAGCAGTTGGTAACTACCCATAAAAGACCAGTCAAATAACGAAGACATTTTAGTGCTACCAGCTAGCTAAGGGAATTCTTACATTTCTCATGCATGTGAGGTTTACTATATATTTCTTATTCAATACTTCGAGCACCAAACCTAGATCTTAAAAAAAAAAAGCAAGTGTCAGAATAACGATTGGAAGTCTAACTTAAATTTATGAACTAATTGTTAACTCTCCACTTCAATAATGTCATGTGATGGAGTTCTAACAATGTGTGCACGGCTTTGAAGTAGTTGTTTTGTCACACAAGCGGCGTTAACGTGGCTGCTGGAATGTACCTCAAGCACGGCCGATCCGATGGCGCAGGCCATGGGGTTCCCCCCGAAGGTGTTGAAGTGACACAAGCTTTTAGCCAAAGACTTGGCAATCTCTAGGGGGAGAAAAGAAAGGTGGGTAATGAGTAACCTGTTCTTATCTATAATCTTCCATCACAATATTTGGATTATATTTACTTTCATGTTCTAAATGACATCATATCCAATTCAATTCTTCATTCACAGATAATGGAATTTATGGGTAGAATTTTGCCCTCCCCGCAATTCACATGTGGAAACCCTAACCCACAATGCATCTGTATTTGGAGATAGGGTCCTTAGGGAAGTCATTAAAGGTTAACTGAGGTCATCAGGGTGGGTCCCAATCCAATAAGACTGGTGTCCTCATAAGAAGAGACACCAGAGCTCTCTTCCTGAAGAGAAGGACAAGTGAGGACACAGCAAGAAGGTGGCCATCTGCTGGAGAGAGCTCACAAAAAACATTCTTCTGGCGCCCTGATCATGGACTCGCAGCCTTTAGAATTGTGAGAAAATAAATGTCTGTTGTTGAAGCCACAACCTGTGGTATCCTGTTATGGTAATCTTAGCTGACTAATGCAGTGGATAAGGAAAAAAAACAGATTATTTATTCAATGAGATGTTTGATAACAAAACCTTTAATGTATTGTGTGAACTGAAAAATACCTTGAGGCTTAATGTATGGCAATTTACAGGGAGATCTTCATTAGCGAAAACTTTTTTTTCTTGTCTTTTACTATTGGGAGTAAGAAGGAAATATTTTTAAAAATCACATCATAGATTTAGTAACATAATTTCTGGATTGTTACAGGATGAGTATATATTCAGTTTATTATATTTTACCTTCTACATTCATATTTTTGTAACTTTAGTCATTCAATAAAAATACTAAGATATCACAAGGCACTTAAATATCCTTTAGTGCCTCAGAAGTGTGGGAAAACCAAATGAAATAATTTTAAGATTTCCAACAATAACTGGTTCATAATAATTATTTTCTGCGAAACCTTTCCAAAGTGAAAAATTCAGTTAATTCTAATGTTCATTTCATAGAATGTCCTGGTTAAGTGAGATTGTACTGTATTTTGCTGTTTTGTGGATGAGACATCAAAAGAGAAAACTATCACTCCAGACCTTGAGTCTATAGCTTCTTTTTTTTTCTTTTTCTTTTCTTCCTTTTTTTTTTTTTTTTTTAACACCTATAGCACCTGGTCTTCCTAGGTGGTCTCCCATCCAAGTACTAACCAGGCCCGACCCTACTTAGCTTCCGAGATCAGACGAGATCTGGCACATTCCAGGTGGCATGACTGTAGACAAATCTATAGCTTCTTGGTGTGGCAAAACCAAGTAAGATTCATATCTTTCCAGAATATGAATCTCTTGGACATTTCAGGGTTGGTTTCAAGTTGGTTAACAAGGATGTTTGGCGATTGTTTTGTTTTGGAGGGGCACATTTTCCTATATCTTGTTAGTGTGGTTGAACCCTGCATTTCATTGTGGGAACAGGAGACTCATCTTTCCCAACAGCAATAGCAAAAGGGCTGCCTTGCATCCTTCTGTGCCACCGTCTGGCAGACAGGCTGTTTCCCTTTCTCATGCTTGGGAAATGCATGTGTAGTTCCCAACACGGTCTCCAACCCACACAGATTCCAACACGTGTGTTTTCTACCATCACTGGCGCAGGAGGCCCAGAAGCAAACACAAACTGCCCCGTAGGTCCTACCTGGAGTTGTCACAACTGCTGCCATGGGAAAGCCATTCGCAATCCCTTTAGCCATGGTGACGATATCCGGCAGGACACCGTGGGTTTGGAAGCCCCAGAAGTGAGAGCCCAACCTTCCAAACCCTGTCTGCACCTGACGGAAGCAAATTCAAAATTATTGGAAACCTTTAAGAAATGCTGGTTTTCTGCCTCAGTGATCGCTTCACTTTCATCTTCCTCCTTCTCAATATCATCATTGCCCGTCACTGTCATCGCTATCTTTGCACTATTATGGACAAAGCACTTAATCTGTGCTTGAGCTTTTAGGCACCAAAAGCCATTTACTAGCTTTGTGAGATTCTGGATATGTTTCTTAAGTCTTCTAAACCTATGTTAACTCTGTTGTAAGTAGAAATACTAATAGCAATATATCACAGGGCTGCCGTGAGGGTCATGTACATGGTGCTTGTGAAAAGGATCATTATTGTTAGCAATCCTGAATAAGGACCTCCTGTGTGCAAGGCAGCAGGAGAGAAGAGTGGAGAAGCAGCATCTGCCCAGGCTGCCTGAGGCGAAAGTTACAGTAAGTGGACTGGGGCTGGGGTACCTGCCACCTGCGTGCATGGGCTGGTCACCCTCTCCCCTGTGATCTCCTTTTTCTCCCTGAGATTTACATCATGAGGAGGACCCTGCTGAGCCAGGTAACTCAGGATTGAACTAAGTTGACCTCAGGTGTTTTGTGCATGCTCTTCCCTCTTTCTAGAAGACTCTCTGCCTCCCTGCTTCTTCATCTCACTAACTCCTCTGGTCCTTCAAAGCACAGCTTTATCATCATCCACTCTAGGAAGATTTCCCATGGTCCCAACTCAAGGCACCTGGGCCTGCTGCCGTCAGAACCTTTCACCTTGGACTGTTGTCACCAGTGCCCGTGTCTGATGACAGGGGCCATATCTTATTCGCCTCTCTACTTATACAGCACCTTGCAGAGCGCCTGACTAAAGTAGAACCTTAATGTTTGTAGAATGAACAAAGAAGTGGCAGAAATGCCTAACTGAATAAAGCCACACAAACATTTCCATGCAAATTTCTGCCAGAGCCTCTCTGGTGAATGTTCTTTGATCTCTTTCTGGCTCTTAGCCTCTTGGCCTGACTGTCTGTCTCTGTTTCTCTACACACACACACATTGCAGGCCGGGCACTTGGAGCTGATTCTGAAATACACTCGAGAGAGCAAGCCTCCTTCTCAGGCTTCCTTCTCATCTTCCCTGCTCTCTCCGGGCGGCTACTGCAAAGGCAGAATGCAAGGGTTGGAAGTAGGTGATAGTGAACAATGAGGAAGAGCTTAGACATGGGAGTCAGACAGACGTGGCCTGGAGTCCTGGGGTGTCCTCCTTCCTAGCCGTGGGCCTCTGGACAAGCTGAATTTGCCCAAATGAGATAATGTCGGCAAAGCTCATGGGAAATCCACTCATTTTGTCTTCCTGTCTTCATTTTTTTACTCCATCTATCTAAGCAGCGTAAATAAATGGTGAAAAATCAGAATGCTTATATAAAGCATAAAATTATGTAGGACAATAAGCCATGTTTAGTCACCTAGGAAGTATCCGTTTCAGAGAAACTTTCGGACTCATTCTAAGGTTCATAAACTGGAATGTCTTCGGGGATGAGGAGCACATGTTAGTGAGAGAGACGGGCTGGGTCCACGACAGTGGGCGGGGGTGGAGGCTGTGAGTGTGTGTGCCCTGCCCCACGGCAGTTAATCTCAAACCTAAACCTAGAGCACGCCAGCCCAGAAAGACTGGCTGTCCAGCTGGCCCCAGAGGCAGCCAGTTTTCTATTTTTGGTTTCAAATTCCTCATTTTAAAGAATAGAACCAAGCTGAACTAATTAAGATGCCTTGTGTAAGATCACTTGGTGGCAGCACCGACCCCACACTCATGTTTTCGATCCCCTGCTCCCTCTTTTCCTGCCTTTCTACACTACTGTTCTATCATGGAGAGGCAGCTTTGCCCAGTGGTTAGCGCAGTCTTGAAGTCCGGGTTTGAGTTCTTTCTCTGTTCCTACTAACTGCAGGTAATTTTACCACCCTGGACTTAAATTCATTTACCTATAAAATGGGAATAATAGCAGTGGTACATACTTTATAGAATTGTTATGAGAATTAACTGAGTTAATGCATGCAAAGCATTGCGAACAGTGCCTGACACATAGCAAGCGCTGAGAAAGTTCCAGCTATTCTTAGCCTTCCCAAATCATTAGGGCCATTCTTCTTAAGGTCATCTTTGTTAGACAGTTTCCAGTTACATTCTTAAAAAAGACAGAAACACATATCTCAGAAAATTCTGAAATTCATATTTGAATTCAGCCTACCTTCCCTCTAATTAGTCCAACTGTGGCAGCTTCAATTTGTGCTGATTCCGAAGGTTAAGGTTTATTTTTTTCACTGAGGTAGTTAATTGTAAACCGACTCAGTGTTTGTGTTCCCTAAACTTGTACCAGCAGGTGGAGGAAGGGAGGAGGGGCATGGAGGAGGAGCTGGCTTAGGCTTCCATGCATAGTACGCTGGGGGTCACCCAACAACCCCGGTGATAACAGAGACCTGGATGCACAAGTAGAAACTGCAAAATAATTTGGTAGGTGGGGTCGGGGGAGCCCAATGTCTGCTATGGGAATGTTTAGTTGAGGAAAACTGTTCAGGCAAAGATGGCAGGACTGAAACGTGTATGAAAAATACTCACAAGTACTTCATCTGCTCTTGGTGGTTCTAACCATCGTTAGAATCATGATGAATGAGCTGCGAGCACTTCTGGGGGCCTGGCAGCCATGCTCTGGCCTTTGGATCCCCATTGCTATTCTTGGTAGGCAATTGATTGCTTTCCTTGCTACAGTTTGATATGAGGTATGATAAATAAACTGATCATTTTTAAAAGCACATAGAATAGACCTCACAGAGCCAGTGAATTTCATTCCTCTTGAAGTCATCGCCTTGGAGGTACTGTAGGCTGTTTTAACTCAAGTTATTTTAGAATATTTTTGGAACTGGTTTTTGAATATCAGTAGCGGTGGTACTCTTCTAACTTAGAAGATGGATGCTTTGTTCCTTTTTAAATATCATTTCCAAACAAGTTTTATCATTAAGGTAAGATGAACGCTGCCAGGCTGGTTAATACTATTTTGACAAAAATAACTTGGTGAAAACCTGGTTACGAGATTACATTTCCCACCTGGTTTTTAAGCTATCCCTGATGTATCCCCAAATAAGAATTTGAATAGTAGTTTGAGTGATGGTGGCATCACCTATACCACCTGTGCCTGTTAGCAACTTATCTGATAGACTCCAATTTGCATGTTTAAGTTCTGCTGTGTATTCTTGTTAAACAGACCTACTAATCCCCTAACAAACCAATCAGCCAACTAGCAAAAGCTTCATTAACTTATACCCATATCTTGGGTATTTTCCACACTAGGTGTTTTCTGCCTGGAATACTGAGGAGCAGTTAAAGAGTTTTCTCCCTGTGCCTTTCTTGGCCCAGCACCACTACGTCGCACCTGATCCATGGCCACTCACTTCGTCCGCAACGCACACGCCTCCCCGCTCTCGCACCAGCTTGAAGGCTTCCTTCAGAAACCCCTTTGGATACTGAACAACTCCATTCACCCCCTGCAAAAGACCAAACCAAGAAGACTTATAATAATAGCATAGCCCTATAAAAGTATATATATATATAAAAAGAAGATAGATTATCATCAATATCATTAGCAATACCAGAAATTTTTAAAAGTCTCTAGAACTGTTTCAACTATGGGTGGAAAAGGGGGCTGTTCCTCTAATGCCATGCCTTCTGAGAAAAGGCTGCAAATGTATTCTTTTCTGAGATTAAAAAAAAAAATGTAGATTAAGGGGATTTAGCAAGATTACAGAAAGATCCCCCTGACAGCGTGGGCGTTAGGGAGCTAAAAATTGCTGGAGCTTCCTTTTCTTTAGAATTTTAGGAATTCAATAGTTTTGTCTATCTATCTGTTCAGTCTGGGAGTACAGGAGGTGGATTTTTCATAGGTCAATTGAAAATCGGGGGCACTTTGTTTTCAAGGGGACCAAGAGAATAAATTGAATTTGGAGAGAGACATAGCAAATGGTTCATTAAATAATTTGAAAATTCTCTAGAATGCATGAATTAAAACTCTGTTAATTTAAAGCTCAGTTCAATTAATGTCTAAGGCTAATATACGCACTTGGATCGGCTCTACAAAAAATCCAGCAATTGATTTGGCCACTGAAGTGTTCAGAGTATCTTTGAACTGTTCAATATACCGGTCTTTAGCTTGGCAGCAGTCTGCAAACAAACGCACAAACATACAAAGAAAACTCAACATTTGAAGATGTGAGAATGGCATCCAGAAGAATGGAGAAAGACAAACAAATAAACAAACGAGTAAGCTGACCAGAGTCCCTCAGACTACCATAAACCAGGATATGAGGGCATAGATTTCTGAAGGAGGGAACATTCTGTCTGAACGACTCATACTTTGGTTCAAGCAGTGAGACTAGGATAGTCATAAAGGCATAAACAAACCACTTTTGTCATTTCCTTCTGGGGAAGAAGTGCCCCAAAGTATCATTGAGTCTGGTATAGAAGCTGTTTCACCTAAGGATACACATCCTCTCAACTGGATAGATTTAGTTCAAATATAATTGAGGTATGGATTTAATCTATTGGAAAATAACTCTGTTTATCTTTTATTGCTACTTAAGCTGATATAAAATTTGAAAGCTATGAAGTATCTCCGTCTTTAGAGTTAACAAATATGTTTATAGAACAACTAAAATTCAGTCTGAATTTTAGGACTGTATCAGAGCCAGATGACCTTCATCTATCTACTATAGCCAGGGAGAGGAAGATTTCTCCTCTGGAATACCAAAGGTCCCAGACTGACTGCATCTCTAGATGACTGAACCTTCAGAATTTTTATCCATACTTGTAATTTGGATCTAAAGAGCACTACAGAATCTTTGAACTTAAACCCTTATTCATGGACAGCACAAGGGATTAAGAGGGAGATTGGATGTGATGGGAACCCCCAGCCTCAGTGACAGTAAAGGGAGTCTGAGAAGTGAGTCACCACCCACTATTTTAATGTTTGTTTAGAGCATGGCAGTAGCCCTATCTCCTGAAGGCGAGAGGTAAGGAATAGAAAGCTTCAGTCATCACCGTCAAGACTGAAGCATAAATATATTTTATTCTTCAGCTCTTTGTTAAAAAAATAAGAAAAACACTACCTGGCCCCAAACATATTTTTAGGTTACAAGTGATGTTTAGGAAAACTTGCTTGATGGAGGCACCTGATATCTTTGGTTAGTTAGAGCTGGGGGTTAGAGTGTGAAGAAGGAAGTAATGAAAAAGGTCTCGAACCCAGAAAGCCCATTTTTAGCATCAGTTACATTGTTTGATGGGCAAGGATATAGTAGACAAATCCATGCCTCTAAAGATTGAAATTTCCTGTTTTTATTAAGAAAGAGAAGACAGCCTACGATGACCCTAAAGGATGGATTTGATATATATTCAAATGATATAATTTGGAAAGTTAGCAAGCCCATTTGTAACTAGAGACATCAAAGGGTGGAGCAAAATCAACCCCAATGATTCAAATTTGGACAAAACCAAATCAAGAGAAGGTTTTGCTCGAACTGTGTTAGACCTGTCATGATTTTTTCTCCCACTGCCCACAAGTTCAATGATAAGAAGGGTCATCCATTGTTATCAGCGGTCAACCACTGTTATCAGCTTTTTACTTCATTTCGTATTTACTTCATTGGCTCACTGTTGTAACTCTAGGTCAGGCTGTCTCTAGAGAGAGACTTGGTGCAGTGGTGTCGCCATGACAACATCAAGGAGGTGGAGAGTAGATGCTCTGCTGAGTACTATCCAAGCAACGGATGGAGATGGAAGGCTTTTTATTTTAGTTGGTGGTATAGAAAGAGTTAAGCAGAGTGAAGAGCCAAGAACTAAAGAAAGAAAGAAAGAAAAAAAACATTAAGAAAAAGGAAACCTGCCTTGCAAAAGGTGAAGAAGAATGTCATCATGAGTAACAGATTGGGGACATTGTGGAGGCAGCGGGAGTCGAGAGGTGAATTTCATCACAAATTACATCTGACATTGAGGGCTTGGAATGAACACCCAGAAAGAGAAATTCCTGAGGAAGGGGTGAAGGAAGATAATGAAATCTACCCCATAAACATCTATATTAGGCTCACAAAATGGACCACACTGCTTATGCCTATGTAGAGAGTGATGACATAATTCTGAGGTGAAAAAACGACCAAGATTGGCACCTTAATAAACCCTAAGAGGAACCAAGAACTGGAACCTTCTATACTCAAAGTACTTTACATGTTGGATTGCCTTTGTAAACATATATAAACACACTGTTTTACAACAAAGACCAAAACACTTCTTAGATCCTACAAGCTTTAGAGGAGGATAAAGTCGTTTTTCGTATTTCAATTCTATTTAAAGATGCGATATCAGTCTTATCTCTTGAAGATATGAGTTAAAAAACAAAAAAATTCTGACTTCAGATATGCCCGGCAACAGTTCAGAGAAGTAGAAATGAATGTCTGCCACTATCATTCAGCCTCCAGATGCCACTAGAGAGATGGCCGCGGTGTCCTGGTATTTTCCAGTTGGCCTAAGGCAGAGGAGAGTTCCTCAAAGAGAGAGGAGGCAGAGAGGATGGAGAGGGAAGGGGACACGGAGTAGAGAGGGAAGAAAATGACCATGTCTTGAGTGCTTTTGCCTACTAGGCTCTGTGCTGGTCGTTTTGCAGTCAGATTGAGGTCTATGAGGTGCACCCAACTGATTTAATTCTTGATGCCATATAAATAAGGTATACAGAGATGGCTGTATTTGGTGCTGCTATCGTCTGCCTTTCTCTACAAAAAGCCCTCTTGATCTCACGAAGCCCTGGGATAAGGGTTCAGGGAGGCAGGTATTGCTATTTCCATTTCACAAATAAGAAAACTGAAACAAAAGATGGAGCTTTTGTTTACGGCTGAACCGTGGTAGGGTTGGGAGTGGAGCCTGGTCTCCTGGCTGCATGTGTCTCCTCGATCCAGCAGAACGGGAGTTATTTTAAGCCTGGGTTCATTCTGCTGGCATGTCAGTGTGAAGTAGGGTGGTCATAGGTTGGGAGCGCTAGCTTTGGAGGCAGAAGACTTAGGGTCAAATCCTAGCTCTCCTGCCTCCTAGGTGTGGACTTTAGTTTCCTCATCTTTAAAATGGAAAGTTTGAATGACAGCTTTAAACTTCCTTATGGTTTTAAGTTCTGTGACCATGACGTCTTGTTCCAATGTTCATTCTTTCATCCTCCTACCACCATTTGCATTATTCCATCTAGCTATTAAGATGATTGTGACTTCTTTTCCTTTCAAAGCTGATTTTTAAGTCTTCCATTCTCATTCTTCCTCTCAACCCAGTGATGCTTACTATTCCATTCCAGAACATCTTTCGGCTGGAGCATCTAGTTCTTTTCTTCAGCACTACTTAGGAGCAGCCACTCAGAAGGTTCTAAACTGTGGTGACAAACATGAGGCGAGACTTGGTGATTAGCAAAGAACAGATGCTGTTTCCATGCCTCCTCTCTCTCATGTTAGGGATAGGTAAAGAATACAAATAAAAATGCAATGGATACACAGAAGCTTTCTTTGTGAGAATGTCTTTAAAACTTTTGCAAGAGATGTCAGCAGCCTTCAGGAACGGCCTAATGTTTTAGCAGATGCTCTCATTCTGGCTGGCATTCTGAGTTCCGGGGGGAGCTTCCTGATTGGAGTGTGGAGATTTCTAGAGGTATTCCTTTCTCTCTCCCTTTCTTCCATTGGGAATTGGTAAAAAATTCCACCGATCTTGTTTTCTTTTGAGATTGATAGCAGACTTATTGCTAATAGAGCTAATCGAACTTCTTTAATTAAATACTGCGTGACAGTCTGTTTTAGCTTAGCTCTAAGAGCACAAGATGCTTTTCTTAACAGCCAGATAGCACAGCGGTAGTAGGCATGAGAAATGTCGACTCATGAAGGGTTGCTTTCTAGGTTTGTTTCCTTTGACTTTTCTCTTCCCCGCTTTTTCAAATCTGTTCCCTCAGGATTGGTTCAGCCTTTCTCCAGGTTCCTTCTTAGCCTCCTGACCTCCCACCACACACCTCCCTCCCTGCCCCGTGGGACCTGGTGCACAAGTGCATTTCCTAATTGTTTGCACTGGTGAATCTCGACAGTGGCTTCCTCCCCAAAGGCCACGGAAAACGTCTGGGCACATTGTCTGCAAATGACAAAAGAAGAAGTTTGGCAAAATGTGAACACAAGATAGCCAATTTGGGGAAACATATGGTATGAAGATTTCCTAATTTGATATCGAGATTCCTCCTTTACTCTTCCCTCTACTTAAGATGAAAACCTAATATTCTGCTTTGAAAAGATCATTTTTTCTTAGAAATAGTTATGTGGGCACTCTACAATCATTGAAATTGATTTCAATGTCAGCCTGGAAACAACTTACTCAAGGGCTTGGTGGGTAAGAGCATCTGAAAGAATAAGAATAATTAGGTGTCTGATTCTGATGCTGAAAAGCTGGATACAGCAAATGAGAACAGAAGGTGAGTATGAGGAAGACTCTATAGAAATTTTATGAATTCAAGGCTCTGAGAACTATTCTCAATGCCTTTATTTGCAGTTTACTTGATCTTATTTAAAAGCAAAACAATTTTTAAAATCCTATTATTATTACTCAGACTCTGAAGATTTTCTAAGAAACGTTCTTCCCAAATGGTCTTTAATACAATTAAGTTAAATTGAGCCTCTGATTAATGATAAGCTTTATATTAGTTTCTAATCCTAATGCCTGGAAAATATGATCAATTATTCCATATACCCAGCAGCCTTTAAATTTCAAAACTCACTGATTGGCAGCCTGTCCCACTGGGGAGTGTCATCTTGAAGAGCCCTACGTTTGACAAGCTTAGTGTGTAAGGACTGCTTCCATGGTAGCCTCCTCTGCAGAGAAAAAAAAAAAAACAGTGGGAAAATGGAGTTAAGTTCATTGCTCTTTCACCACTGGCCTGTGGAACACAGGTTAGAACAACAATGACAAAAATCCGTGAAGGCCATGGAGATAAAATGGAGCGACATTAACGTGCAACTCCAGTGGTTTCTAAGAAATCTGTCAGGTGAATTTACTTAATTTATCTTTCCATCTTGTGTCATAGCTTTGAAATTGTGAAAGGAATTTTGAAGCCCACTAGCCAAGAACTCTGACCTTAGCATCTGCCCTACTCTGTTGCTCTAAAGTAGTGAGATTCACCTTTTAGCAACATGCAAGAAATTGTATGTTCAATGAATATTTGTCTTGAGAAGCCAGATATTTGTTCCTGAGATGCAGCTGTTGCTCAGCACTTTAGGTGTTTACTGAGCGCCTTGTGAGTCACTTTATTCGGCACATAAACAACACAGGTTTTGTTTCTTTTTAAACCTGAAATGGTCGCATTTAGTACAAATCATTCTGAGTCTTGGTTTCCAATGAGTTTGGGCGTTTTCCCAAATCAAAATCACCCTAACTGCATTGCTGGTATAGTGGTGAGCATAGTTGCCTTTCAAAATCACCCAAACTGCAAATTTAAGACTATGTATTAAGACTATGCAATAGAATCGTCATATATCTTGAAAGAGAAGACACGAACATGTGTTAAACTCTAATAGCACAATGAGTGCTTTAAATACATCAATACTTATCTGGACATGCATATTCTGGAATGTTTATTTAGGTAAAACATCAATCACAATTTTTTTTTTTTTTTTGTGAGAACTTTTATTTAAACATTTCACACATAGATAAAAAAGCCATTTTTGTACATCAAATATAAGAATAAATTATTGTAATGGCTTTATTGATTTTTTTTCTTTCAGCTACAATAAAATGTTAGAACGGGCATTATATTAAAAGAGTATTTAAAACAGCTTCCTGTGGTAGCTCTTATGCGCAGATCCCATGCTCAGATATGCTGGTGTGCAGTTTGGGTGTTTTTTGTTGAGTTTTAGATGTTCAGCTTATTGTTGCTTCACGGGCAGAGATCCAGGGACGTCTCTCACTCCACCATGTTTCTGATGCCACTCCCCCAATCACAATCCTTTATTGCCATAAATCTTTCATAGCAAATCTTTGCTCATGCCTGTAGTTATTACACGTGCGTTTTATATGGAATGCATAGTATTGGATGTGCTATGGTAATTAGATCTCATGGAAATCAAATCTTCTTTTCAATCTAGCCAGAATTAGAACTACAGGAAAGGTGAAAGAATGGGACTATTTCTTGATTTCATCAACTTATACTATAACTTATTCCTGCCTTTTACATAAACCTTATTATAAGAGTGTAAAAATGTGCTACATAAAATTACTCAAGGGAGGAAACCATAAGCAAAATTCTTAGTTTTTAATTATTTTTAATATTCATAATTTAGCTATCAAGGGTTTATAATTAATGTATTAAATTATCGATTCTCAAAAGTCACCCAAAGGAGCAGAAATATACAGGGTTATATAGGCATCATAGGAACTTAAAAAGTAAAAGGTGAAACACTGATGCAGCTGGCATATGAGATGAATATGTGGCTCCTTATCATAAGCAGAGATCAAAACGAGCCCAGTGTAACATGGTAGAGTCATGAGTGTCTATGAGTGGAGACCAGTCATTCACCTCTTGGCATATGTCGTAGTAATACCACATCTTCAAAGTTAAAAACTGTCATGTGACCTTCAGTTCCATAGGAAATCTATGACATAACTAGGACCACAAGCAATTTGTTACCCCAGTCAGGCACCCCTGCCTTGGATCAGGTCAGTTTGAATGGGGTTAACCTGTCATAAAATTCATTTGGCTGATCTTGCCTTAAAACCTAAAATTAGAAACATACCCCTGGGAAAAACCCCTTCGTGCTGTATTTTAAAGATAGACATTTAGTAGTAGGCTAAGTCGATGTTATTAAAGTTTTATATTCCAGGTGTGATTACCTGAAAGAAATGATATCTGTGTTATGTGAATGTGCTCTGGCCATCAGCATGGCTAGGTCGTTGGCTTCCGAGCCACTGTTTATCAGGAAAATGACCTGGAGGGAAAACAAAGACACATGACCTTACACTTCAAGTTATTTCCTTATTACCCAAGTAATTCGAAATTGCAGAAGACTGTGTGTTCCAGCCTCTGATTATTAAGGAGAGGTCCCATCAGACAAACAGTTCCATCATTTAATTACTGCGTTAATTTACAGCTCTTTACTGAGCAGCTGCTAAGTGCTAGAGAAATAAAAAGGCTAAGGGATTATCCCAATTATGAAACATTCTGGACTTCCATTGATTTTACTGGATGCTCTGCAAAACTCTAAGACGGGGAAACTTGCTGAGGTGTACACGGTGGTTAGTGGTCGAGTGGATCCGAGGACCAGGTCTCTTGGTTCCTGAACATAAACCACCCCACCTGATCTGAAGGCATGGGACAAGGCAGGCTTCCTAGTCCTGCAGCTTCCGAGGATATCCCAGCCTGTCAGCTCAGTGTGTGTGAATGCTGAAAAAACAAGCAAATAAACAAAAGTATGGCTTGTCTTGTCCAAAAGGAAGGGGAGAGCTGAAGGGCCCTGGATCCTCCAGGCTCGGGGACTGGGGGCCATGTGCTGTGCCTTGCTGACTTCCTTGCTTCTGCTCTTCCATGAACGTGAGTGGGCTGAACTTAGTTTGCAGCTATTCTAACTTTCTTCATTTCTTCTAGATAATATGGTAAATAGAGTGTCTAGATAATATAGTAAAATAATAATAATAATAGCTAACACAAGGTACTGTTCTAGGTACTACATAGGTATTAACTCATCGAATCCCTAAATGCAAATCTTGGCCAAGATTTTCACCTCTCGATTCATTTAAAAATTCCGTCATTTCAAATGCAGAGAAAAAAAATCTCACTTAGCAAAAATATTTAAATGCATCTTAGCTTAAATGAACTGGATGGTATATTAATTTTATTTAAAAATAGCTCCACTCTTTGTAAACGGAAAAATGCAAATGACTTTGCAGAGGGGCTACGATGCAAAGAGATGACAAACAAGCTCTTGAGGAAAGTAAAGGAGACAGTTAAGGGAGTGGGGGCTCTTGCTAAGTGGTTTCTGCAGAGTGGTGGTGAGGAGAGTGACCAAGGACAGGCAGAAGCTTGGAGCTGAGAAAGTGATCATCGATTGGTTTTACCAGCAATTTGTAAATTCCTCTCTTTCCTTGATTGCTTTGAAATACGGCTATTACCTTACTGTTTCAGTTGTTCAGTGCACAGAACAAATTTCCTGCCCATGTTCCTGTTTCCCAGGGCAGCAACCCTGGGATCAGGAGGCTCCTGTCCCTTCGATCTGAGAGCATTATACCTTTAGAGGCTCAGGAAGAAGCGCAGAAAGCTTCTCTGCATATTCATGCATCTGAGGGTGGAAGAAATGGCAACTTGTGTGCCACAGGCGGCCCATCTGCTTTTGTGCCACTGCGTTTACCTTCCTGGATAAACAGGAGAGCAGAATTACCCCTGCTGCTGGCAGGCACGTCCTCCCCAACACGCACACTGGTCATTGAACCCAAACGTGTGGCTATTTCTGATTTCATCCACACTAGAAAGAACACTGACCACCACAGATGTCTGGCAATGAGATGTGTTGACTCAAAAGGTAATAATTACCTCACCAACCCAAGTGTTTAAAAGGAAACAAAATGATTATATCTTAGAGATTTTAGAAAAAAAATTCCTTATTTAGGAGGAAGGTTGGACTTAGGATCTCTTCTAACTAGGTTTTCTTATTAACTAGACTTTAAAGAGTTGGGTAACTAGAGACGACTAGATGTAAACCTGGGTGTCTTTCTGTTTTATTTTTCTAAAATATAGATCTGTCAAGCCCATGTATACAAGGGCAAGGCTTTTTCTTTCAAAGAAGATTCCAGTTTCTGGGTCTTAGTGGTCGGCATCGAACATTTTGTAACTACGAAACCACATTCTATGGAAGAAAGTTCATGTCGGGGGATGGTAGAGAATAAGGGTAGATGGATGTGTGGGAACTGACTAGGAAAGCCCCGAAAAGACAGACCGAGGTGTCTGATCTTGATCAAAAGGACAGCAATGGCTAAAGTTTATTACACATCAATATGTTTGTTATTGATAAACTGTCACACCAAAAAAAAGTCCATTCAGTGGTTCACCAATTTTGAGAAATGCCAGGTCAAACAGATTTCTTTACTGTAGGACTTTTCAGTACCTTTAATAGTCTCATGTGTATTGTTTCTCCTCAGGAGGTAGATATAGTTTAAAGTGTTTCCCAAACTCATTTTTTCACAAGACCTTTTACCAACAAAACTCACGTGTGATCAGCCTTCCACGGAACTCACTTTAGACAACTGTGGAGTACCAATAAACTCCTAAACAGAAGAGACGCTCGACAAAGGCATTGTTTAGCAAAATAAATCTGAGAGCCACGTGAGGGTAGAATGGAAGGGGAACACTGGTAATGGTAAGGCCAGTTACGAGAGCATGGTGGCCTTCGAGGAGGCTGGTGTTAGTGAGAATTAGAGAGAGGGGCTAGTAAGAGAGGCATTTCAGAAGAGGGAAAACTAGACCTTGGCTGTCTAAAGGAAATGAAAGACAGGGAAGAGCCGAAGATGACATCGATGTTCTTGCCTGTAACATTGGAGAAACCCCAGGATAAGCTGAGATACGCAGCCAGTTGTTCAGCTACCCAGCTCCTAGCAGGGAACAGCTGCAGAGTGGGTAGCTCACTTGTGCTCCTTGAATAGAAGAACGTATGAATAGAAGCAGTATTGTGGATCGCATGGTGGATTTGGTCTTGGTAAAGTTGAATTTCAGTTGATGGTGGAATATCATGCCGTGATGGTGGTGGGGTTGTCCTGGAGGCTGTGGGAAATATGTGGCATCTTAATGCCACTCTGGGTTTATTAGAGTTATTGCAGCTTGGCAATTGGCTGAAGAAATAGAGTTGGGTAAGGCTATTGAAAATGTAGCAACTGAATGACCATAGGTGGGGAGATGGGGTGGGACTGATTCTATGGTGGAAATAATAAGGCATGAAAGGAATATAGAAAGAGCTGGGGGGTTAAGGAAAGAGCCTAGGACACCCAGAGTTAAAGGTCAGAGGGTCAAGCTTCAGGGTCAGAGGGAGATCAGGAGATGCGTAAAGGTCATGAAAACCAGTAAGAGTGGTTGATTAACAGGGACAATGTCCTGTGTTGTTGGGAAGATTCAATGAGAATGTTAAAAGGTTTTCTCTACTTCATTTTCTCTACTTTTATGTGTGTTTGTCCTATGTTTTAAATTTCACTTGAAACTTATTTTGCAAGTTCCTCAAAGCCTTGCATGGGACGAGTGCCTCTCGAAGACAGGAAGGAGAAGGCTGCAGAAGGAGAAGGTGAGGGCTGGACTGACCCCGGAGTTAAACTCTCTCCTCACTGCCTGGCAGCTGCTTGCAGAGAAGACCCTTTGCCCCTACCTTGACAGAAGGGCTCAAACCTATTCAATTTATTTAAGCTTGCTGCTTTATTTTTGTCCCATTCAATTTGAATTTTGTTGGCCAAATTATTAAAGAGAAAACAGACATTAAAATGGGATGGCTGCACCGAAACCAGAAGGACCTCAGAAGGACCTACCGAGGGCATCAGTGTGGATGGGCCGGTGACCAAGGTAGCAAAGAATCCCAGGATTAATGGAGTGATACATTCCCTAATGTAAATTTCTAGCCTTGATTACGTCTTCCTCGTATCCTCCTTTCCGTCCTTACCCATCAGTCAGAGTAGTTGATGAAAATCCTTGGGCTAGAAGTGATTTCTCACCTCTCGTCATCCCCCACCCCACATGCTTGTCCCTGTGTTCTCTAGGACTCGCCTGCCTTCCTTGTCTTCTGCATTTTCCTTAGTGACTTTCTTTTCTTTGTCAAACAGTTGCTAATGAGGAGAAACACACACAAGCACAGCGACACCGATCACGTGGCACATGGCACATTGCACGTGCAATGAGAATGCCTAAATCTTGTGTTGTCAAGAAAAGAAAAAGTGTAGTGTTAAGATTTTTTTTTTTCTGTTACCCAGGAAATAGCAGGGAGTATGTCAACTACAAAGTAGGATATGCCTGAGGAGAGAGAATTTTTAAACAGGGCTCTGAATCACTAACACGACCGTTAGCTTGTGTTCCATATATTCTTCTAAAGTGAAAACCCTGGGATTAAGGATACTCACGGGTGGCAGTGACCAACACTGACAGTGACAATCCCAGAAAAAAAATCCAGGTATCTGTTTCCCTGATAATCAAACAGCCATTCCATGTGACCCTGGTGGAGCAACAAAGGCTCCGGAAAATACGTCGTCAGCGCAGGAGAGAGATGCTTCTCGTGGATGTCCAGGACACGGGTATAGGCAAAGGACTGTGGACAGACAACATTTCAGTATTAACCTTCCTTCGCCTCATCTCCACATCTCTTACAACAGCAGGTCACTACAGCAGTGCTTTGCCTCTCTCCTGACCGGGCGTAAGGCCACTGCCCTATACTCACAAATGGGTGTATTTGCCCGGTGTCTTCCTTGCAGGACACCAAGGCCCTTCTTCTCAAGTTGGGGAAATTATTCATGTGGCCCTTTGATTCCTTTCAAGATCAAATGTGAAGAAGGGGGCTAAAAATGTCTACCTCTCAACGGAAAGCCGTGGCTTTGAGTTGATTTTTGCTGTGAAACACAAGAAAACAAAACAAAAACAACTTTGGAAGTAAATGTCTGAATTAATAACTCATTTTTTACCTGCAGTTTTTTTTTTTTGAGAATGAAAAAAATAATAAAGTGCTTGTGATATTCATGACTTTAATTATCAAGCCTCTCTCCTGTACTTTTTTTCTTTATGGGTCCCTCCTGACTAGCTATTGATTCTTTCTAATCTATTAATATTATGTAGAATAAAGAGTTTGGAGAGAGAAATATTTATTAGACTGAGAGCAAAATGATAACTTTATATTTTTTGGTAGAGAATTCAGTAAAGTCAGACTATGCATTGACATGAGAGACAGTCAAAATCAGAACGACATTTTTTAAAGTCAATATGTGCCATCACGTTTTGTGATATAAGCATTTATGTATGTGTGTATCCATATCTCAATCCCTGTGATACATATATTGTCTCTTTCTTACGTTCTCTGTCTCTCCGCCTTTGCCTCTCACGCTCATGCACACCAATTCATACAATAGCATGGAATAGAGTAAGAGGGTTCAGATGCTTCTAATAACTTAAAGCAGGAACCCCCAACCCCTGGGCTGCAGACTGATACCAGTCCATGACCTGTTAAGAACTGGGCCGTGGACGTGGTTCCATAGTGTAGCGGTTAGCACGTCTGCTTTACACGTAGAAGGTCCTGGGTTCACGCTCCAGTGGAGCCATGGTCCATGGCCTATGGCCATGCCACCCTGAACAAACTCAATGTCTGATCTCGGAAGCTAAGTAGAGTTGGTCCTGGTTAGTACTTGGATGGGAGACCACCTAGGAAGACCAGGTGCTGTAGGCATAAATAATAATAAATTAAAAGGAAAAAAAAAAAAAAGAACTGGGCCACACGGAAGGAGGTGAGCACTGGGCCAGCAAGCGAAGCTTCATCTGTATTTGCAGCCGCTCCCCAGCGCTAGCATCACCACCTTAGCTCCACCTCACATCATCAGGCATTCGATTCTCATAGGAGCACTAATCCCTGGTGCCAAAAAGGTTGAGGACCGCTGGCTTACAGCATAGAATACCTGGGAAGGGATGGCTCAGCAGCAGGCAGGACCATTTGTGGGGTCCTTCTTGAGGAAACAATTAAGTTAGCCCTTTTCAGAAGGACCCCCTCTTTTGGGTTCTCCTAAAACTCTGATTCTTACCTGATATCTTTCAGGTGTGAAGTCACATGGAGGCATTCTGGGTTTTGTGTGAAGACTGAGCTTGGTTCCGGATGTCCAGAAAGCACCTACTAAAAGTGAAGTGAGTTAGGATCCTCAACTAAACATCACACAGTGTAAAAATTTACTATAGTTACCTGAATCAAGGTCCTTATGCAATTTTATTTCTTAGTTTTGAAAAAAATCATTTAAATCAGAATTTAATGTGGATTAAAAACTGAGGTATTTCAATAAGGAATTTTCTGGAGGGAAAAAGGAAGTTCATCTTGAATTTAGTCGGGAAAGGTGTGGAGGATATTGGGGGAGTCATGATTTCTCTCACCGTGGTGACTCACAACCTTGGGAAGCTCCTCCCCCATCCCCCATGTCAGCTAAATTTTTCTTTTCAGTTGACCAAACTTCTCCCAGTGCCGCGTGTTGCCGGAATATATCCTCTTTGTTAGTAAGAATGCTTTCTAAACGTCGGATTGCCCAATGCCTGAATCCCAGTACCTGTCCCAGTTCCTGGGATTGGGTTGGCTGTCAATAAACAAGGAATGAATAGCTGTTGACTATTCTTGTAGGAGATGAAGAAAGATAGGTGCTGGGCAATGTACCGTATTAACAAATACTACATGCAAATAGATTTAGAAGACAAAACTTTCCTCCAAAACACAACAACACAAAGACCATGATAACACAAGACCATGACAAAGCAAAGATAAGCTGAGCCAGAAAAATCACTCACTATTTGGAGCTAAACGACATCTTTTTTTTTTTTTTTTTGGTCAAAATGCTTATTTTATAGACAGAGAAACCAGCCTAAAGTGGCACGTTAATTTGTTTAAGGTCACCAAGCTTAGCTGCTGAACAAGAATAAAACTCCACGTCTCTGGCTCCCAGCCTAGTACGTTTTCACTCATTCATCGGCTACCTCACTCTCCGCTTCCAGCACAGATTTTGATGTCTCTATCAGTGAGATGGGATTAGAGCCAAAGAAGGTCAGAGCTGAGGCAGATATCCAGAGACATTGTAAGTACTCTGGGAAAAGAATGCTGCTAATTTCGAAGATTCTAAGTCATTATCAAGATAATTTTATAGGTGGAGAGAGCTGAGGAAATGAGATCTCTTATTCAGTATGAAGGTTTGAATTCATGAATGAGATATTGGTGTTTTGTGTGGCTGTGAAGTCACAGTCCTGAGAAACACAATGAACAATTGTGCTTTTAAAGAAAGCTGAAAAGTAACAGCTCTGATTATGTCTTCTTTTAAAGAGTTCTCATTCGCCTTTCTGCTCTAAAGAATCATGAATGTCATTAATTCGCTCTTATTTTAAAAGCAAGTGGCTTTTGGCTATCTAAGTATGAAAATGACAAAAAAATTATAACTTAAGCTTTCTGAGAATTTCACCTTTTGAAAAGCTTTTCATTATGTCCTTCTACATTAGTTACTCTTCTGAGATGGAAAAAAATTCTAAATGTTTCTAAGAATTCAAGTTGCCTTGACTATTTCAGTCTCATTTTCCTGTCTCCAAAAATTGGAGTCGCCTATTGAGAAGGCTATAAACTCTCTTAACTTCAAGGTTATAGGAATTAAGAAGTAGGCTAGAGGGGAAAGAGAATTGCAATGAAAGATTTTATAAATGAAATGCTGAATTTTAAACAGCAAAGGCAGATTCATTCATTTATTTGTTTGTTTATTTATTCATTCAGTCAGTCATTCACCCAACTGATAAGAATATGATGATGGAGTGAGGGCTCCAAATTAAATATATAAAATCCTGTTTTTAGGAAAGAAGGACAGAAAGAAGAAAGGAAGAAAGGAAGGAAGGATGGAAAGAAGGACGGTAGCAAGCAAGGAGGAAAAATAAGTAGCCAATAAATGAAAAAGGTCTAGATAACATCTCAAAAAACTATTGCCTTTCGTACCTTCCCTCTCACTAAACAACCCAAAATCAAAAATAATAATAGTAATTGATGGACAACCCCCCCCCCCAAAAAAAAAAGCTTTGGTTTTTATCATTTGCTAGAAAAATATTAAAATCTAAATATATAGATAATTGCCTGCTTTCTTTGTTCAGAATAACCTGTGTTTTGAGGATGACATAAAAGGCGAAGGTTAATGAAGCTTCTCTTGGATTCTTGGAAATTGCATGTGAGCATGTACTCTCGTGCCTGTTTGCATGGCCATGCGTGGAGCTGTGTGTATTGGGGAAGACAGACCCAAGAGGGATGGGGAAGGGATAACGAAGATCTGGGTTAATAAAACTGAATTCCAGATCTATTTCTGTATAGGCATTTTTTGTTTTATTAAAAAAAAAAATCATTTTAACTGGTCTGATGTTGCCTTTTTAAACCATGTCAACACAGATGACAGTTAATGATTTTCATCTAGTTCACCAATTTCCACTTCATTTCACCTGGACAACTCAACTTAAAAGCGAAGCAACATTCAGTTTGGAGAACACTACTACTCTTAGATAATAAATGCCAAATGGATAACTAGTTTTAATTTTCCAACTGCCTAATTCTCACAGAGTTCCACAGCAAGTAAATCACCTTAATTTTTACTTCTTTCTCCCAAATTATTGTATCAAAAAGCAAAAACCCGCTGGGCAAGATAAGTGAGAGAAATCAATTTTTGTGAGCATTTGAAAATTCTAGAGGAAATTCTCTTTGTAATGATAAAGATTTTTCTAACATCCACAACCAGCTTTCAACACAGAGGAAACATTTATTAAGACTTTCCTTAGTCTTTAAAAAAAAAGGTTATAAGAGATTTGAAAATGCACAATAGATACAGTTGCTAGAATGTTAAGGTGATTTATTAAAATGCTAATTATGTTTTATTTCTGTCTAGTATATTAGATAACTTTAAAAAAATATGTCACTTTGGATATCTCATTTGATTCTTAGGATAGCCAATGCATTAGGAAGATTTTTCATTCACCTGAGGCCAGGGCACATTAAATGTGAGGTGTTTGCAATTTTGAGCGTCCCCCACACATAGGATTGAGGGCTTGAGATGCCACCTCATGCAGGCCTGTTGAGACTAAGGTGAGGTCTGGATAAGTGAGGGACAGTGGTTGGTTGGGGAGAAACTTTTTTCATCTGCTCCTGCTGAGCTCCCAGACCCGTGAGAGGATCCTTTTCCTTCATAAACTGTCCCACGCTCTGCATGACATTACAGAGGACACTTGTCGTTGCTGTTCAGTATCGCCATGAACAACAGCACCCTGGTCCCTCTGTGGGGAACCACCTGTGCTGAATTGTGTGCTCTGAGTGATAGGATAATATATCAGGTGACTCCTTCCCATCAGGGACACCAAGAGATGAGTCAGACCTCTGATGGGTGAATGAGATGTCTTTTCCTTAGGACCTGCAGTCCTGAGCAAATGACCCAGGTGGAGGGAATAGCTGGAGGCCATCATTAGAGCCACAAAACACTTAAAAATCATTTCCTGCCTGGCCTCCCCTGGTATCTCTTCATGCCCAGTCCGGCCCACCCCCTCACCTCCCGTTGATTCCTTCCACCCTCTCCCTCCATAGCTTCTGATAAGCGCCCTTTCACTTAAGTAAGCATGGGGCAGCTGCCGGTGTTCACAAGCGAGAGCTCTGCCTGATCCTGAGGCTAGTGGGTTGTCTTTCCATTTGGCACTTTTGGGGGCAAGCCTTCTTTGGGGTCACCCTCCTGGCCCTTAGCAGGGCTAAATCAGTTCTGCAGACTGCAGCAAGGACTGCCTGGAGCGGTGCAGGCAGGACATCTCCCTATAGGGCTAATTTTAATGCTTTCTTTTTTTTTTTTTTTAAGAGAAGGCAGTTGCAGGAATTTTGGGAAGTTTATCATGGAAACGGGCATTATTTGCCATCAGCCTCCCTGCTATGCACCCCTTCTTGTGGGAGGGGAGGCAGGTGATAGGAAAATGGTACATTTGAGCACATACCCCACCTTCTCGGAAATGTTATCCCTTCAACAATTGTTAGCTAATTAGCAAAAAAGAAGGCATCACTGATATATTTTCTCCACTCTTTGATACTGAAAGCAAATTGCTTCTATATCTTTGTGTACATGTTTAGCCCAAAATAATTGTGCGTATCAAGCACAGGCAAGGCTGAATATTTTATGTACACATATGTCATATAGTATATATGTTGGTGTTGTACAAGGATTGTGAAGTATTTATTTTTGTATATTTGATAACACTTAACAGCTGGTGATCTCCCTATCTCATGCAGCCCCTGTCTCCCCTTCCCCCATTTTAGTTTTCTATCTCCTCGCCCTGATTTGGTTTTACTCACAACATATATCTCTACTGGATTTTTTGTTACTTGCTTATTTGTTTACCTGTTTATGCTCACTCTTTCTCACTAGGATACATAGAGGAGTGGTTTTGTTTTGCTCATCATGGCTCTGTCTATGGCACAGGTGTATAGTAGATGCTCAAATACTTTTATAAAATATTTTTTTCAATTACAGTTGACATACAATATTGTATTAGTTCCAAGTGTACAACATAGTGATTAGACATTAATACAACGTAATGGTCACCCTGATAAATCTAGTACCCATCTGACATCACACATAGTTATTACAATATTATTGACTATATTCCCTGTGCTGTACTTTACATCTCCATGACCATTTTGTAACTACCAATTTGTATATTAATCCCTTTCCCTCTTTCCCCCATCCCTCCAACCCCACTCTTATCTGAATCTGTGAGATCATTTTTGTGTGTGTGTTAGTTTGCTTTTTAGATTCCACATATAAACGAGATCATATGGTATTTGTCTTTCTCTGTCTGACTTATTTCTCCTAGCATAATTAGCATAACACTCTCAGGGGCCATCCATGTTGTTGCAAATGGCAAGATTTCATTCTTTCTTATGGCTCAGTAGTATTCCATTGTATATATGTACCACTTCTTTGTCTAATCATCTATCAATGGGCACTTAGGTTATTTTCATATCTTGGCTATTGTAAATAATGCTGCAATGAACATATGGATACACATGTCTTTTTGAATTAGTGGTTTGGGTTTCTTTGGATAAATACCCAGAAGTGGAATCACTGGGTTCTTTTTTGGCTCTTGCTATAGCCTGTGTTTTAAAGTCTTTTCTGTCCGGTATAAGTATTTACTGGTACCTCAGCTTTTGTTTTTTTCTGTTTTCATGTCCATGATATGTCATTTTCCATCCTGTTACTTTCAGTGTGTGTTTTTGATCTGAGGTGAGTCCCTTACAGGCAGTATATGTAAGGGTCTTGTTTTCTTTTTCATTCAGCTACTCTATGTCTTTTGATTGGAGCATTTAATCCGTTTACCTTTAAAGTACTTATTGATAGATATATAGTTATTGCCATTTTATTATTCATATTTTAGATTTTTTTTCTGACTTAAAGAAGTATCTTTAACATTTCTTGTGATACTGGTTTGGTAGTTATGAACTCTTTTAGTTTTTTCTTGTCTAGGAAGCTGTTTATCTGTCCTTCGATTCCAAATGATAGCATTGTTGGGTAGAGTAATCTTGGATGAAGGTCCTTGCTTTTCATCACTTTGAATATTTTGTGCCAATCCCTCTGCCCTGCAAAGTTTCTGTTGAGAACTGGAAGTCTTATGGGAGCTCTCTTGTAGGTAATTACCCTGCAAAGTTTCTCTTGAGAAACCAGCTGGAAGTCTTATGGGAGCTCTCTTGTAGGTAATTAATTCTTTTTCTTTTGCTGCTTTTCAGATTCTCTTTGTCTTTAATCTTTGGCATTTTATTTATGATGTGTCTTAATATAGGCCCGTTTGGGTTCATCTTGTTTGGAACTCTGTGCTTGTTGGGCTTGTATATTTTCTTTGACAGATGAGGTAAGTTTTCCATCATTTCTTCAGATCGCTTTTCGATTTCTTGCTCTCTCTCTCTTCTCCTGGTGTTTCTATGACATGAATATTGGTATGCCTGATGTTGTCCCAGAGGCCCCTTAAACTATTCTCATTTTTTGGATTCTATTTTCTTTTCGCTGTTCTGATTGGGTGTTTTCTGTCGCCTTGTCTTTCAAATCGCTGATTCAGTTCTCTGCTTCATATAATCTACTGTTGATTTCCTCTAAAGTATCCTTCATTTCAGATATCGTATTCTTTTTTATTTTCTATTTCCATTTTTATGTTTCCTATTTCTGTTTCAAAGTTCTCACTGGGATCATTGAGCATCCTTATAACCAGTGTTTTGAACTCTGCATCCGGTAGACTGCTTATCTCTATTTTGTTTTTTTCTTTAGTTTTGTTCTATTCTTTCATTTGGGGCATGTTTCTTTGTCTCCTTATTTTGGATGCCTTCCTGTGTTTGTTTCTATTTATTAGGTAAAGATGTTATGTTTCCCACTCTTGGTAGAGTGGCCTTATGAAGTAGGTGTCCTGTGAGGCCCAGTGGTACAGTCTCCATGGTCACTTTAGCCGGGTTCTCCAGGTATGTCCCTTCTGTGGGATGTGTGTGTCCTCCTGTTGTATTTAAGCCTTGATTGCTGTTTGCACATCAGTGGGAAAGACTGGTCCTCAGGATGATTGGTTGTGAGGAATGGCCATGATTATAGTGGAGAAGCTGTTGTGCAGGGGCTGACTCTACAGAGCAAGACTCACTTTAGTGGGACTCTGGTGCCTGCCAAATTTGCTCTTTGTGTATGTCTTTGTGGAGGTGAATGGATGGTGCTTTAGTGTGGTCTGAAACTGGCCACTGTATGTTGGTTTGGGGGCCTCTTGGGAGGGGCTCTGGTGCAGACTAAGGTTAGCTGCTGCTTGTGTCCTGCCCAAGGCCACTTGATATAAACTACAAGGTGATCTGCAGATGGTTGCCACTTGTGCCGGGCATGGAGGTGCCTCAGAGAGGCTAAGCTTTGAACTGAGGCTGGCTGCCATTAGTACCAGACTTGGGGCTGCTTAGCAAGAGTTATGGGGCCAGATACCTCAGGTTTGGGGTTTATGAACCTTTGAGAGATTTTAGAAAGTCCATAGCATGAGCCAAGATAGGTCGTTTGTATGGAAAATCCATTAGAATCAGGTTGAGTGGGCCCATAAGTAAGGTGGGGCCGAGTCTCAGGGAATCACCAGGGCGAGGTGAACAATGTTAGCCAGGTTGATGGAGACTCAGATATGGCACCTGCCTGTGTGTTCAGGTTGGGTGAGGGGAGGGCTCAACGAAGGGACAATGGATTCTGCTAGCACTTCTGTTTGAGATAAAGCTGCCTCCCCAGCCCTCATCTTGAAGCCGCACAGTTCAGTTTCTCCCAGCATATCCCTGGCACTTTTTGAGATGCTGCCAGTAAGTCCATTCATGGGCCATTCAAGAGGAATGCCTAGGACTCCAGCTGCCCTCCATCTCACTTAACCACATCTCTGTTGGTTTTCATAACCAGATGTTATGGGAACTTATCTTCTTGGCACTGGAACCCTGGGCTGGGGAGCCTGGTGCGGAGCTAGGACTCCTTGCTCTTCAGAAGGGGTCTTCTGCAACCAAGATATCCCTCCCAATTTTAACTGCCATATGTAGGTGTGAGACCAGCCTGTTCTGTCTCTACCTCTCCTATCCTTGGCTTCTTCTGTATGTCCTTAGTTATAGGACTTTTGTTCAGCTAGACTTCAGGCAATTCTCAATGATGTTTGTTTTGTAGTTCAGTTGTAATTTTGATATGGTCTTGGGAGGGGGCAAGTACAGCATTTATCTACTCTGCCATCTTGACTGGAACTCCCAGTGCTCAAATACTTTTGATTGGATGTGCATTTTGCACACAGCACGTTCTTAAGAAGGGTGTGTTCAATGAGTGTGTGTTTAGATGAACAAACACAGGCAGGCGTAAATTTATGTACAGTAGGTAAGAAAGTAGAAATAAAACCCCAAAGGATTTTGAAAGGCCAGGTCAAGAGTATGACATTCATGTCATAGCATGGGTTTGCAAGATTACTACTTCTTTGTAGTTTTTTTCACAGAGCTATGTTGAGGAGTCCCCAATAAATTGACCAAGATCTCTAGGCACCAAGCCTCCCCTGCCATCTCTAAGACACCTGCTCCACAACCATCAGGGGTTAGGGAAGGAAAGGGGAAGGCGGCTGCACATAGGACATTTTCATTTGTCAACAACCGGTACTTTCAGTATTGTGCCCTCCTTATTGAGCATAAAACTCTGGGTATAATTCTAGCTTCTCAGAAAACGTCGAGGTTAAATGATTCTGGCAAAAACCATGATTGAGGGAAAAGAGGACTCCAAACAGGACCAGAAGAAGTGTGGGTAAGAAAGGGTCTGGCGGAGTCATCTGACCTGGCTCTGAATCCCAGGTTGTTACTTCTATGTTTCTGACTTTGACCAAATTTATTAATTATTCTTTATTCTTCTGTCTCCTTATCTGTGAAATGGGGTAATATTACTAACAAGTTTGGTTAAAGACGGAAGGAGATAATCATTTAAAGTATCAGACATGTATTAAGTTTCAAAGAATTGTAGTCGTCAGGGGGGGAAAAAGCAAATAAGAGAAGAAAAGATAGAGAAAAAGGAAAGACGAGGAGAAAATGAAGATAAAATTGATCATAATGGGGAATGGAAAAGGATTTCCTATACTGATTAGAGCTCGTGAGGCACAGGGTTCCACTCTGGCACATAGATGTGCAGATAGCTGCTTATACTCATGTTTGCATGAGGAAAATTGGTGAAGAGGTAGTGGGGTGCTAGTGAAAAAAAGATACATATAAAAATCACAAGCACATAGAATACAATACACGAAGCCATCAATGGCTGGCTACCCCAGGTCTCCTCACATTTTCTGTTCCTGCTGGAGAGAGAAGAGAATCTAAGTGGGAAAGGAAGGCTCAGTATTGAGTCCTAGTCTCGTGAGTGTCTCTGGGTAAAGACCGCACTTCTCTGAGTCTCAATCTTCTTATTAGTCATCAAAGGGATGACTCCACTTCTTGGGGGCATGGTGGAAATTTGTGAGGATGCCTTATGTCTTTTAAAGTAGTCATCCTTGAGCATCAATATATTATAGTTAGTACTTTACTATGAATTGCTTTCCTTTTTAAAAATATTTTAATTAGTTTCAAGTATACAGTACATTGGTTAGACATCTATATAGTTAGTAAAATGATGCCCCCAATTGCTCCCTCCCTCCCCGACCCTACACCTAGCTAATTGCATTTCTTATGCAGTGCTTCCCATCCCCGTGACCATCCATCAGCTACTTATTTGTACTTCTTTAACCCTTCACCCCATTCTCCCAGCCCTCCACACCCCCCTCCCCTCTGTCCGTCACCAAATTGTCCACTGTATTTGTGAGTCTCTTTTTGATTAGTTTGTTCTTTTTATTCCTTAAATTCTACATATAAGTGAAATCATATAGTGTTTATCTTTCTCTGTCTGACTTAAATACCTTCTAGATTCATCAAAGCAATATCTTTTTCCATTCCCTTTCTTTTCATATGTAGGGGTCTTGTTTCCTTATCCTTTCAGCCACTCTATCTTTTGGTTGTAGCCCTATCAATAAGCACCTTAAACGAAAAAGAATTAAGTGCTCCAACTAAAAGACAGAGTGGCTGAAAGTGTTAGAAAACAAGACCCCTACATATGAAAAGGAAGGGAATGGTTGAATTGCTTTCCTTTTATTCTTTATATTACAGCTAAGGTATTATGTTGTTTTTATTTTGAAAGTGTGTATAGTCAGATTTTATTATCCATGAATTTTATTCCAGGACAAAAGAGCATCGGAAATATTGGGCATGAGAGCGGGGCATTGGATCTGACAAGGTGAGAACCACTGTGTTAGATGACCCGTCTCTAAGACCTCATCCAGGTCTAACATTCCAGAATTCCAGGCAACAGTTTCTGGAACTCTCACTGACCCTCTGCTGACCCACATCCCCCTGGTTTCCACTCACGGCTCGGAGAAGGGCACTTCTTGGGGATCCTGGGAGAGGAAGTCTCCAGGCATAAAGTTCTTGGCAAATATCTCCAGGGTAGAGTCATCCCTCCTAGTCAGGAAGCAAATCCTTATGGGAGCAGGTCGGAGGAAGAGTTCCAAATGCTCGCCCAGAGGCTGGACTTTGAGATGAGAATGGGAGGGGAGGAGCATCAGAGAGGAGTCCTGGAGTGGCTGCCGCCACCACTTAAAGAAGCCCAGAGCATCCAGGGCTGATAACAGTGCCGAAAGGAGAGAGAAAGAAAAAGGGAGTGGGGGAAGGGAAGGAGGGAGAGAAGAAAGAGAAAGAAAACAGTCAGGCAAAGTGAAAGTCTGAGTTTTGCTGGTTTTGCAGTCTCATCAGGGCGAGCTCTTCTCTGCAGAGGGTGGCGATAGGCATGGGGGAAGGGTCAGAGATTGAGAAGCAGGAGTGTGAAAAAGAGGGCGCGTGAGAGAAAGATGATATGCATGAAATGAATGGATAAAGAAATTGGTATTGGTGCTGGGGAGTCTTAGAGGCAGAAAAGAGGGATTAATGGGGAAGAGGACACCCGAAACGGAAGGAGAGTGGCACCAAATAGCTAGGGAAGGCTCTGGACAGCTTTGCAACCCCTTAGGTGCCTGCAAGAGGCAAGAAGTTGAAAGCGGAGGTGTTTGAGTGCTTTATTTTTGTTACATTTTATTTTCTTAAATTCTCATTTGTCATTTCTGCCTTCTCCTTTCCTAATCTCCATAGGCAGCTATTTAGTGTGTTTAATATATATCTCTATGTATTTGTGTAAATGTGGACTGTTTGGGGTGAATGTGTGTTTTAAAAAATTTATTTTATTATTAGTTTCAAATATGCAATACATTGGTTAGACATTTATACAATTTATGAAATGATCCCCCTGAGTACTTTTTCTTTCCTCTGGCTCTATACCTAGCCATTACATTAATGCTGACCGCATTCCTTATGAATGCATTTTTAGTTTATGTAAGTATGCGTCCTTTCTTCCCCCCACTCTGAAGCATGCTCCTAAGGTCCATCCACGTTGCTCTGAATATATCTCTTCCAGGTTTACAACTGGCCGCCTTTGCATGGCAGTGCCGAAGGGAGACGGTGACAAAGGTAATTGGAGCTGGACGATATGAGGGGATATGGTGAGTACCATACAAGGGAGACAGTTGGCTTGGTCACATCTTCCACCAACATCTGAGATACAACTTTTGACCCCGGATGCCGATAAGAGACAAGGGTATCAGGTAAGCCCAGAAAATGACCTAAATTTGATGTAAATTGTCCCTTTTTGCATGGGCTCTCAGCCACCACCAACCCATCTGCTTAGGGGGCTGAGGAGAATAGTTATGTCATCTCTCTGGTCACCTGCTAGTAGTGGGAATAACCCATGTCAGTGAGGTCAGCGAAGACACAGTCTCTTACTGGGGTGTCCAACCTGTCACGCTGTTGGACTGAGGTGAGAAAATGCTGAATACCTGAAGCTTCACATTTGTTCTTCAGCTCCACTGGGCACTGATGTGTTTTGTTCTCGTGAACACTGCAAGCTGCAAGCTCCTCTGACTTGAGATTTTTCTTGGGCTGTAGGTTCAGAGATTGCCATGGTGAGAGGCACCCAATGACATCAGGGGCATCCCGGGATGAAGACTGCAAAACACTGCATTCTGAATCACTGCAAAGTGAGAAGTTGTGCCTTTTCTATTTAAAAAGAAGACATTTGTTCTGATTATCATAACTATATAAGCTTTTTGTGAAAACAAACAAACTCAAGGTTAGAGAAACATAATCAAGAAAGTAAAAATCACAATAAATCTGAACATTGTATTTTAGGAAAGACGCTTTCAGAAATCTTTTTACATGTGTATATCTGTGTATATACATGCCATTTTACGAACTGCCTATTGTCAAAAATATAGCTTTTCGTGCAAAAAAAATGTAAATCTGGGTCATATTTTCTATTTTTTTCCATAATATTTCATTATATAGTTTATTTAATTTTGGAAAGTTCTTGGTCATTATAACTTCAAATATTTCTTCGTTTTTCCTTCTTCTGTTATTTCAATTACACATACGTTACACCTTTTGAAATTGTTCCGCTGTTTTAAGAGGTTCTGTTATTCCTTCCCTTTTTGTCACTGCATTTTAGTGTGGGAAGCTTCTATTACTTATCTTCAAGCTCACTGATTCTTTCTTTGGCTGTGTCCAGCCTCCTGATGGGCCCATCAAAGACGTTCTTCACTTCTATTATGTGTTTTAATTTGTAGCCTTTCCTTTGGACTCTTGGTTAGAGTTTTCGTTTCTCTGCTTACATTATCCATTTGGTATTACCTAATGTCTACTTTTTTCATTAGCATTCTTAACATTAACCATAGTTATTTTAAATTGTCTGAAGATATATCTGTGTTATATCTGAGTCTCGTTCTGATACTTGCTTTGTCTTTTAAGGCTGTGTTCTTTTTTCCTATTATTTTAGCATCACTTTCAACTTTTTGATGAATCCTGGACGTAACGCATTGATAATATTGAGGTAAATAAGTCTCTAGTGTGAGGTTTTACATTAATCTGGTTGGGAATTGGATGTGTTTAATGTTCACTGTAGCTATAGGTGTCAGAAGATTCAAATTCTTTTAGTATCCTTGTTTTTGTGTCCTCTGTTGTCTTGGGGCGGCCCTAAAAACTGTTTCCTAAATAGAGTCAGGATGTGGCTGCTCTTTCATCTGTAACCCGTTTTATTATGCGGGATCCCTAAAATCTTACGATTAGATCTCAGTCTTTCAGTGGGCCTATGTCTCTCGACCGTGGCCTTCAGAAGTGTTCCTCCAGTAGTACGACTTAAAAAAAAATCACACCTTCTACTCACTTCTTTGGCTTCAGTTTTTTCAATTGTTTTCCTCGGAGCCCTTATCCCTGTTGAATATGTTTTTGTTTCTTTTTGTTTTTGCTTTTTTTCTGATCCCTTAGATGAGACAGGAAGACTAGAGGTGGCTTTGTGGGAAATGTCTTTCATACAGGGCTCTGGCAAAGTCATTTCTGCTGGAGAATAGATCTTCGTTAAAGTGAAGGTTCTGAGCATATTTTACAGTGCGTACCCTTCCCCTTCCCCAGCAGAGGAGGGCTCTTCACCATGAAAACCTGGTGCCGTTCCTCTCGGGAAGGCCCATAAAAGTCTGGGGTTCTCTGAAGGCCGGGAAGTGTCTCATTCTCACACTAGTCCACACTAGTGTTTCAGCAATTTGTCAAAATTATCGTTTAATTGTTCCTACCAACCAGTTATGGCTCTGGCGGCTTTTGCTGCAGGTTAAGCAGGTCTCGGCTGTGACTCTCAGGATTTGCCTGTATCTCTAGATTTCAGAGTGACAACTCTGCAACCTCACCTCTCTGATGGGTTCAAGAAAAGACATTAATTTCAGTTCGTGCAGCTTCTTCTTGTAGTAGAAATGGAAATGACAATTTCCAAGCTCTTTGCATGTCAAAGATGAAGCCGGAAGTCCTCATATACTTTATTTAATAAGTCCTGATTGATAGACAACTATATTTTCTCCAACATCCTAAGACATAGAATTTTTTTTGCATTGTGCTAATGTTGTAGCCACCAGCTCCCGAAAGACACACGGACCACCAGAAATCGTCAAGTTATAGGAAACACACTCTTTATTCAGCCATCTGGGTCTGCCAGGGGTATGCAGACCCCAAATTAAGCAGCCCCGAAATGTAGAGATACAGGGTTTTTAAGCCCTAAATCCCATTCCTCATTCTGTCTTAAACACAAAGGTCTATTTTTCTCCTATTCACTACCTGTCAACCCACAGGTCGGGTGTGCAAGTGGGGGTACAGAAGCGGAAAGCTTATTGTTAGAATGTTATGTTCCCATAGGTGATAGCCTATGTTTCCATGGGCGATAGCCTATGTTCCCATGGGCAATAGCCAAGCAGTAATAGTATTGAACCCACACTAATTACGTTTTTCCTCCAAGAGAAATTTCTAAATCAAAATGTATGTATATTGTAAATACACTCTAGTAAGATGGAATCAATTTTTAATTCAACTAAGATTGCACAAAACTGTTTTACAACACGTTGAGTCTTTTGACCTCTTTAGAATTGCTATGCTATCCACTGAATCTGAAAACTAGGGTGGGGAGGAAACTTAGATTCCCTCTAGGTCGGCATCCTCAGTCTGTTTAAGCTGAAATATCAGAGTAACCTAGGTTCACAGATCACATTCCTGTTAAACAGATGTTATCTGTCAGTGATAAGGGACTTTAAGAGATGTCTCTGTCCTGGGTCTTTTTCTTCTTTCCCCTTCAAGCAAATCAGGTATAATTTTCTCCATTTTACATAAAAGTAGAGAGGATGAGGAGCTACCCCTGTTTGCAGGACTGGTAAATAGGAGGAGCAGGACATCATTCTCTTGCCATCTCTACTTCCAAAATAATTATTTTGAAGGTACAGAATATATTTTGTCAGATAGGCAAATGTGGGAATTTCTCCTTAAACAAAGAGAATTAGCAAATAAGGAGTCATGGAAATTTTGTTGTCATGTTAATGATTATAGGAGAGTTTTTTTAAAAAAAATAGTTTCATCAATGATTGATCAGTTAAGTACTGAGTATAACTGAACTTTGCTTTTTGCTCCCAGTCCTTCTGCCAGTAACAGAGCAGGGTCCTATAAGAGTTACTGAAGATAAAGAACGCTTTTACCAAAGTGATCCTTTCCCCTTCCTAATTCATTTGGAAGTCATGGGATTGAAAGAAATAGAAACATTTTGGAAGGATTTCAGATGAACCCTAATTTCCATGAAATCTCACGTTACCGGTGCTGCGTTTCGCAGTGAGTGGACGGTGGAGGATGGCGTGTGCAGGGTGTCAGACTGAGGTGCCGAGATGGTGGGTATTCTAGAAGAGCATGACCACATGGAGATGTGGCTCAGACCCTGTGATCCTGTGATCACTCTCATGCAGTACTGATTTTCTTGAAAAATTCTGTAACGTCAAAGTCTTTTCATTTATTTATTAAGACAAACCCTTTGGACAAGTCTCATCTGAGGTTACTGGATTTAATATGTTTCAAAGCCCGAGTGGTGAGACCTGGGGA